TTGTTCCTCGCTTCGATTTCAATTTCTCTCGAAAATCCCAAATTCAGGAAGAATCATGGATGATAGCTGTGCAGTCTGCGCCGATAATCTCGAATGGGTTGCTTACGGATCTTGTGGTCACCGAGAAGTTTGCTCAACATGCGTCGTTCGTCTCCGTTTCATCCTCGACGATCCTCGCTGCTGTATCTGCAAAACTGAGTCTCCTATCGTCTTCGTCACCAAGGTTATTATCGTTTTCCTCTTCTTAATTGTCTACCTCTGTTGATTGGAGTTGATTTTCCTCTCGCAAGCTCCTCTTTGTTGAATGATTAGTGTTTATTCCATGAATTTTGTTTTTGCAGGCATTGGGTGATTATACTAGGACGATTAATGACTTTTCGACTTTCCCATCAGCACCAAAGGAAGGTCGAGTAGCTGGAGGGTTTTGGTATCATGAAGATACTAAGGCTTTCTTTGATGATTTGGATCAGTACAGGATGATCAAAGCCATGTGTAGACTCTCTTGCAGTGTTTGTGACAAGACTGAAGAACAACCAAGAGAAGGAGGACAAGGGCCAAGGCCTCATCGTTTGCGGATTAAGAGTGTTGAACAGTTGAAGGGTCATTTATATCATAAGCATAAATTGCATATGTGTGGTTTATGTCTTGAAGGGCGTAAGGTGGGAGCTTTAAAACTTTCATATGTGCAGCTTATCTTCTCTGAATGTTTGCTCATTTTTGACATCTCTGTTTCTTTCTCTACATGGACAGATATTCATATGTGAACAAAAGCTGTATACTAGAGCACAACTTAACCAACATATACACACTGGTGACTCTGAAGTTGATGGAAGTGAGAGTGATAGGGGAGGCTTCGCTGGTCATCCTATGTGTGAATTCTGTAGGAATCCATTCTATGGTGATAATGAGTTATATACTCACATGTCTACAGAGCATTACACTTGTCATTTATGCCAAAGGTAATAGCAATTTATACTTGCGAAATCTTAATTCTGAGGGCGTGTAACTTTGGTGACTTCATTGGTTTCAATATTCAATTTAGGTCGCAGCCCGGACAATATGAGTATTACAAAAACTATGATGACTTGGAGGTAGGCATCAACCATTTTGATCATAGTTTAGGTTAAATTGTGGCTGCATATGTTCTGATTCTTCTGGTTTTTGCAACAGATTCACTTCCGCCGAGACCATTTCCTTTGTGAGGATGACTCCTGCCTTGCGAAGAAGTTTATAGTTTTTACAAACGAATCAGAGTTGAAAGTAAACAATTTTGGTGAATTTTCTCATTGTTCTTTTTTAGTTCTGCTCTATGGACTTTTGTTAAGCATTTGTATTTGTTTTTCCAGAGGCATAATGCTATCGAGCATGGGGGTAAAATGTCTCGGTCACAGAGAAGTGCTGCATTGCAGGCATGTAACCTCCCATGCTGTTTTAAAAAAAAAAAATAATTTATCCTCCATTTTGGTTGTCTATAGTTTAATATTGTGATTGTTGTGCTCCAGATACCAACGAGTTTCCGATACCGACGAAATGAACAAGAGAATCGTCGTGGAAGACCCCGCTCGTTTCGTCGCGAGCCTGGAGATGAGAATGATGAATATAATCATGCAGTTCATGCTGCTCTTCGGCTATCTGAGGCTGAGTATTCTCGGCAAGAGCCTGCTCCCCCACCCCCAAGTGCACCACCTGGATTCTCTGAGAACACCAACAGACACATTGAGGATGCTGCTCCTCTTATTCAACCAATGGAATCTCTATCCACTACCGATATGGAACCCTCTTCGCGGTATCTTCAAGCTGTAGGCAGCTCTGGTGCTGGTGGTTCACGTCTTAGAGAATCTGCTTTTCCTCCTCTTTCTGGTCCACAGAGCTCTCAATTTTCGCCGCTGCCTACTAACACCATGGCTGCTCGTCTAAGACGTCAAGCAAATCAA